GTGGTGTTACTGTGTGTTTCAGTCTTGGTTCTTGTCTAAGCTCTCTGTGAGGTTCTCCGGCTGTTCTGCTCTTTGTTCTGCCCCCCTCTGCTGTTTACTCCCTATAATAGCTTCCATCTGGCTCAGCGGCGGCTGTTTGCCAGAATGTCTTTCCCGTTGCATATTGTGCTCCTCTGCCATCCCTGCAGGTGCCCCCTCCCAGACTGGCACACTTACTGGTGGAACAGTAACCCAGTTACAGTGCTGGAAACTGGGTCGGCTGCAGGCTGCGCTGCCAGGAGGAAGCATCGAGCTGAACTCCGTGTTTCAGCCAAACGCTCATGGATTTATTGGACAGTCGAGGCAGCGGGAGGCGTTCAGGACACTCAGGGTTTTCCATAAATATGAAGCAGCAGTCAGGAGCTGGTGGTTCTGTGGTCCGACTGGGCTCAGAGTCCGCAAGTCAATAGTTTAGTGTGTTTCTGGATCACGTCTGTTGATCTACAGTAAAACACTGAAGCAGAAGGTCACACAGGAGCCCTGGTTGAATTTATCCAGTTTAAACATAAACCAGACGACGCAGCGCTTCATTTGTTCAGCGCTGGGCGGCTGTGGCTCAGCTGGTAGAGGTCCACTCATCCCGGGTTGGTGGTTCGAGTCCTCGGGCAGGACACTGGACCTGGACCTGGACCTGGTCCTGACGGCAGCTCTGTGACCGTCGGGGTGTGAATGAGAAACACTGTGAGCAGCACCAAGGCAGCAGAACACCATGAAAGCACAGAACATTCACCGTTAACCATTTACTAGAAGGTCTTATTGGACTTTTCTTAGTGTTTTAGGAGATAAATGGGACATGAACGTCCACAGACCTTCATCTGTGTTTTATAAGATCAGAGAGGAATCAAAGCGAGGAGGATGTGAGCAGCTTCCTCCTGATGATTTCACTTCACCTTTCACAGCCTCAGCTGCTCTCTGATCAAAGCTTTATGAACGTTTTCAGTTTGTGTGGAAAAACCAGAAAACTCCCAAACGGTAGAAACACCGAGAACAAGTTTCTGTTTTTGACTGAGCTGGAAAATATTTAAGAAACCGGCATTAAAGTGAAGGACGCAGGAAGTTTGATCAGATTTTAACATGAGGCTGATTTTCACATGAACAACAAACAGCTTCATCCAGAAAGACCCGGAAATATAAAATACAAGAAAGTGTTTAACTTGTTCTGTGTGTGTGTTAAACAACTTTATATGAGATTTTTGGATTTTTAAAATTAATTTGTCAACTGCTGATAATAATAATAATGTTGTAATAAATTATTAGGATTTTTGAAACAAACAAGTAAAAGAAGTAAAGTCAGAGTTAGAGGCCATTAAATTATGAAAATAAAAAGAGCACATCAGTAAATATATATTCATACGTCTGTAACTTCCTACAGGATAAATAGCACAAGTACATCAAATTTAATTTAATCAAATAAAGAAAGATTTTAACCTTGTTTTATTTTTATTAATAGTTTTTATTCAGACGTTTCAGGATGTAAAGGGTAGATGCTGATGGATCCTGAAACATCTCTGATATAATATTAATTTTAAATTCTAATTACCTGCTTTTATTACTTTAATTTGCACAAAAATGTAAATTCTGCAAAAATGTTCTCGTTTTGTTTGAAGACTTTAAAATCTGGATTTTATTAAAAGCAGAACTGATTTCTGTGTTCGTTCAGCTTCGTTTAGTTTTTGTGTTTTATTGGAGGATTTATCAGCAGAGAAATGAGCTGCTGTCACATAGTTCATATATTAACATGCAGCAGAGCGACGATGAAAGTAAATATGAACATACATCCATTAGTTCTGGTTCCCTGTAGAACCCGTCTGTCTGTAGAACCTCTGGAGGTTCCTCCAGCTGTGATCTGCTCACGTCGTGCATGGAGGTGTCTGATGCTGCTTCCAGATGTGAGTTCATCTGTGAGCTCAGAGCTTCTGATTGATTCCTGATTCCGGTCACAGAGTTCAGGCTGAAGACGAGCCGCTGGCCCAGATTGGGCCGATGCGCTCTGTACTGGTTTTGTGGGTGTAATCCTGCAGCTTTTCACCCCCCAGCGCTGACGGCCGTCATCAGAGCAGCTTAGAGGCGGCTGCAGCATCTGTCGCTGACGCTGTCACTGTGTTTGTGTGTGCAGATAAAGAAGCTTCATCATGGGGAAAGGCTGCATGACCGCCAGCAAGTACTTCCTGTTCCTCTTCAACCTCATCTTCTTTGTGAGTATTTCACCTGCAGTCATCCAGACGCTTCCCCGTCACAACAGTCATGGTGCTTCATTCACATCAGACCTGTCAGAACCCTCTGAACCATCACAACCAGTTTAAAGGCGTTTTTATTTCTGCTCCTGGTTCATGTTCCTACATGAAGTCCTGCAGCTGTGAGGAACCAGAACATGAAGCAGGAGGAGAACTCAGACATGATTCTGTCAGAACCATGGAAGTGATCTGAATTTCTTTGATTATTTATTTTCCAAAAAATGAAAAGAAAAGCTGCTCACAGATGTGA